GAGAGAGAGAGAGAGAGAGAGAGAGAGAGAGAGAGAGAGAGCAGGGAGTTGCAGAGTAAGCACACTTACAAAAAGGGGATCTCTGTCTCTCATACACATATACACGGAAACGTGGTGTGCAGGCAGGCGAGAGAGCAAACTTGCAGATTAGCTTTGTGGTCTATTCTTGCCTCCTCCCCTCCCTAAAATCCAGGCAATAATAAAACTCTTCGGACTGAATGGGAAGTTAGGAATTGGTGTGAGTTGAAATTAAAAGGCCGAGTCAACTCCCCCCCCCCCCCAAATTATTTTGTCGGAGACAAAAATACTTCCCTTCATTTGCTCTTTTATAATTTAATCCAGCCTTACCCAAACTAATATATTTTGGATGTCATGAACCATCATCCTGTGGCTATGTTGGCTAGAAATGCAATGCCTTATTTTCTCTGCGCCTAGGAGGCAGGAGGTCTGTGGGATTTAGATGTATTTAAACATTTGTTTCTTCTGCCTAATTTATTAAATCAACATCTAATTTGAAATTAAAAGTTTCTGAGAAATCCAGGGTGGTTTACAAGAAAACTCTCAAAGACAGCTATTGTAAAGCATCACTAGCACTGCTTAAAACAATATTAAAAGTGTTCATTTTAAGAAAGAAAAATAGTAGTAGTAATTTACTTAGTGCTGTTTGACCATAAAATGTGTTGTTGTTTTACATATGCCTGGCTGAACAGTGTGTTTGGAGTTGCCTCTAAATGGGGGAGGGTTGCATTGTTCATCTTTTCCTTGGGAGAAAGTTCTATAATGGGGGTGCTGTCTCTGAGAAGGCTCTGCTTGTGGCCACTGTTCTATAAACCAAACCAGGGGGACCATCTGGTCTAAATGGATGGTAAACATAGATGATTAGGGGCCTGGAGGCTAAAACATATGACAGATGTTTGTGGGAATTGGGTATGTCTAGCTTACTGAAAAGGACTAGGGGTAGTGACATGATAGCAGTGTTCCAATATTTGATGGGCTGCCACAGAGAAGAAGGGGTCAACCTATTTTCCAAAGCATCAGAAGGCAAATAATAGATGGAAACTAATCAGGAAGAAAACCAGCCTAGAACTAAGGACTTGTGAAAACAACTAACCAGTGAAAAGGCTTGCCTTCAGAAGTTGTGGATGCTCCATCACTGGAGGCTTTTAAGCAGAGATTGGATATTCCATTGTCTGGAATGGTATATGTCCCCTGCTTGAGCAGGAGCTTGGACTAAAGACCTCAAAGGTCTCTTCCAACTCTTATTCTTTGAGAGAAGTGCTGCCAACCTCTCCCCCTCCCCTTCCTGGGCACAGAGAGAAGGAGGGAAGGAAGGAGGGGAGGGAAACAGGAAGAAAGTAAGGGAAGGAAGAAGGAGATGGGAATGAAAAGGAGGGAGGCAGGGAGGAAGGAAGGAAAGAATGAAAAGAGAAAGAAGGAAGGAAAGGAAGAAAGAGAAAGAAAGAAAGGAGAGAAGGGAGGAAGGAAGGAAAGAAGGAAGGAAAGAAAGAGATTGGAATAAGAGGGAAGGTCTGAGGGAAGTCTTACTTTAGCACTTGGCCACCAGCAGCCCTGTTGCCCTTTTGCCTTCCCCTAGTAGTCTCCCATCCTATTGCTGAGGATGCTTTGGTTACAAAGCCAGGTTTCCTCGCATGGAGAGGGAGTGGGCCTCCCTCTGACCCACACACTTTGTCCTCCTGCACCCACCATGAGCAACCTGGCCAAGGAGAGTGAGCACAGCAGCAGCAGCATTGAGGAGGAGGTAAGTGCAGCTGGGCGCCCCCTCGGGGATGTGCGGCTAGGCTAGGCAGGGATGTGGGATCCTGGTGCCGTGGGAGTTCAAGGGGCGGGCTGTGTGCTTGACCTCCGCTGCCCAGGGCTCTGGGCAGTCCATGCCACTGTCCAGGGGCCCCATGCGTAGCCTGAGGCTCAGTGAGGCTCCTCCAGTGGACCATGCCCCCTGTTCCACCCACTCTTCCCCACCCTCGGATGCGCCCCAGTCCTGCCCAGTGCCCCTGACGTGAGTGACATGGAGCTGGCCACGCCCACCCAGTAGGCCACGCCCACGCCAGCCACGCCCCACCCAGTAGGCCACGCCATGTCAGCCACACCCACCCGCCCCCCCAATGGCAACCACGATGCTGATGCGGCCCTCAGTGAAATTGAGTTTGACACCCCTGATCTATTTGATGCCATCATTTGAATTTCTCAGTGTTCTAAATCTCTGCCAACCTCAGTAAAATATTTGGATGAAATCAATAAAACCCTAACAATTCAATGCAAATTCTATACTTTTGTGTTTTGACTGTTCTTTGTAATGTCTTTGGCAACATATTTAACTATGAAAAATGGAGAATAAATTTTCTAAATAAGTAATGTTTCTATTTATTCCTGTCCATTGGCCATAATAAATGATGATGATGCCTTAGGTTAGCAAGCAATCATTTCATCTAAAATGCCAGTGAAAAACTATTTTCATAATTAACATTTGCATAGTAATTAGTAATAGCAACACAACCATCCCAGTAAAGAATCCCTAGGAAGAACAGGAAACGTATAGCAAACACATTTTAACTTTTTGTATTTCACCTCAAATCCCCCTTACAACAAACAGATCTTTATCCAACTCTAAAAGGATCAGGAAGAAGCAATGGACCTGAAATATTTTGGAAGCAAATAGGTGCACAGCTGTGTTTCTTTTCACCAATCACAAAATAGATCTTTGCAGCATTAATAGATGCTTCTTCAGTTAAAGGCTGGGTGGGAGTTTTTCTTGTTTTGAGTTTATCACTATAAAGTAAAAACCTAGTTTGCAACAACTCATCATCATGGCCATATGAATATAAATGCAAGCACAGGGTTTTTTGAGACCATATTTAGCATATGGTGGAATATAGCTTTTGTTTAAGAATCAATTGGAAATAATGGGAGAAAATGGTCCTTAGCTGCAGCCTAACAAAATAAAAATAGACCTGCAAATCTTAATCTTTCTGTCCAGACAGATTCAGAAAAAAACAAAGAAAGCTTTGACTTTATTGAACATTGTGAAATCCTGGTTTCCCATTATGAGAGTGAGCCATGACAAAACCTGGACATGTGTATTCTCTTTACTCCCTCCCTGGAGAAAAAAACCTTTGATTTTACACAAGCAGAGTTTTCCATGAAACTAGACTTTGTTAATTGTGATTTGTGCAAACTGGTCAGTAAGAACATGCCTGGTTAGACTTTGGCTTCTTCTTGCTAATGTGTACAAATATTGCTGAGAATTAAATTTAAAAATAGAAACTGTCTGTCCCTTCATATTCAGGAAAAAAGAAGAGTATAGGAATGAGAGAAGTGTGCAGACCTAAACATTGCTGTCATAAATCCTCCTTCCTGTTAATATTTGAACTCAGATTTTCTGACTCATACTGTTGTTCATAGAGTTTTTATTTGCTATCACATTGACTAACGTCATATAATACTTGTCTCTACAGATAAAAAAGGCCAAGATGCAGGAATCAGGAGAAGAACTATTAAGGTGTGCAATTCTTGAATTAAAAAAGAAATTAAACAAACCTCATCTAATTTTTGTGGCTTTCTGTACTTTTTTTTCAAAAAAATGAAAAATTAGATTTGCAATGTATTTTCTTATTTCTTTCATTTAATATGGACTGGACATGTCCATTAATTCTTATCGTCATCTTCAGCTCTATAAAGTTGGTCACTTCTGTTGATATTTCACTGAGGATGAGGGACTGAGAAAAGATTTGAGCCTTTTCACATTGAATTTTAAATTTCATTTAGTATCTATGCCTAAATTTCATTTAATATCAAGATTAATTAAAGCTAATGCTGAATAAACCATAACTTGAACTATTTTATTTGTTTAATCAGTTCTGCTAGCAGGAGGAACTAATCAGAAAAATTGAAAAATGGTCTTATGATTATTTCAGAATTTTAAAGAATTTTGGCTAAAAGATACTTATAAATGTGAATATTGCACATAGTTTTAAGACAGTTAGCATATGTTTAGGATGATAACAATATTTAATTGATGTGACAAAGATTAAAAAGTACTTCATTGTTTGACTTCATTTTTCAGGCAAGTGAGCAGCACAGACAGTAATGATCAAAAGCCCGAATCCTCAAGTCTTGCTTCAAACTTGTCTATATCCAATCAAAGTAAGCGATTTCTTTATTTTCCAACTTGATTAGGAGAAGTATTAGGCATTTGGCACCTGAATTATGTCTGTAACATGGTCCTTTTATTTGATTGTTTGATTTGGTATCATTTACCTCCAGGGCAATGTTGGGCAGCTTACAATATAATAAACAGAATAAATAAACTGCAATAAAAAACAAAGCATATAACAGAAGAATGAGACTAAAAGAGGGGACACCTTTACAGTTGCCATGGATTTACATTTTTTTCAACTATATTGCTAAGCTAGATTTTTAAAATCATCTTCCTGCAATCCTTAATATTTAAAAACTTCAAATTTCAAAATGGGAGCATGAGTAAGCCTACCCCATGTATACCGTGCACCAGAATGCATATTAAATCTGTGCAAAGTGTCCTGAATTTGCTGGGGTGATGAGATTTCCACTGCTGAGACAGCTTGACTCTTTGTTGAAGTAAAGATGCTTCTTCTAGTCTTCTTCTGCTCACCTTAAAGCCAGAAGAATCTTTTGTGCATGTTTTGGACATGTCATTTCAGTTCCTGGCATGCATACATTAACTTGGAGAAATATGTTCACCACCACAGATCACCTAGGCTTTGGATGAGCTATGCCAAACAAGATGAACAGACACCTGCCACAAAACTTAACTAAATTTTGGACGGCAGAGAGAGCAAAGTATTATGGAAGTTTTGATCTTAGAAACTTTAAAGCTTTAAAGAATGTTTTGCTTGAGCCTTCATTAAACGTTTCTTTTGAACCTTTGCACAGACCTAATGTCAATTACAGTTAAACACAGCCATACACATTAATGTCATGGTTAAATAGTATTAAATAGCGTTAAAAGTGTTAAATAACTTTGAAGGTCATTTTTAAATATTGTATTTTGCAGTCATGCCATGCACTGACTACATCTCAAGGTCATCAAATGACTATACCTCACAGATGTATTCTGCAAAGTAAGTTGAATTAAGTTGTTTGTTTCTTCACAATGTCACAGCAGGAATCTTACTGGGTGTTTGGTTCATGTAGATGTTTAATTATATAATAATACAACAATTTTTTTCTTACTTCGATGGCATCTTTGTGCATAGGTCCCGAAAGGAACTGTCAGGAGCGAGTGGCTCTGTTCTTTGAAGCCTCTCCAACCTTTCTGACTAGTTGGGAATATTTGGTCTAACAATTACAGTGCCCCTTCATGACCTATCCCTCTCTTGCATGTACATACACCCAAGACTGAGCAAGCTTCTAAGAAATATTTCTTAGCTGGTATCAGTCTGTAATTTGGACTGCATGGAGCTTGGGATGGTACAGAACATAGAAAGCTTCACCATTCTGTGCACAGCCTAGAAGGAAGGCAGAGCATTCAGCAATAAATTTAGGAGGTGACATGTTGTTAGTTTTCTCTGGGTTCTCTGGCATCAGTGATGTTACCCAAATCTGCTACAGTTTCCTTCCTTATCAAGGGATCAAGTGTTGACACTATTGAAAGGAAAAGAAGGTAAGGTGATTGCAGCCCTTCTTTGCTCTTTCCACGGCTGCTGTTTTAATATTATTGGGATACTATTGAGTTGCAAGATGAGAGTTTCCCACATCAACATGGTGTTTTTCTTTTGCTTTTTACGTAGACCATATGCACATGTCCTTTCTGTACCTGTTTCTGAAACGATGGCCTCTTATTCTGGGCAGACTCAATATCAAACACTACCACAGTCCCAGACATACGCAGTTTATCCCCAGACAACCCAAGCCTACGGACTACCTCCTTTTGGTAAGGTTGGCCAGGATCTCTACAGGGCCTTGCAGTCATCTGAGACGTTTTGCTCTTATGTGTAAGGTGCACCCTCTAAAGTGCTTTACATAACAGTATTACAAATAGGTATGTTTTGATTATGTATAAGCTGAGAACATGCACTCTGTATAACTTGTGAAACAGGTAGTCTTCGACTTACAACCACAATTGAGCCCAAAATTTCCATTGCTCAGTGAGTCATTTGTTAAGTGAGCTTTGTCCCATTTTATGACCTTTCTTGCTACGGTTCTTAAGTGAATTGCTGCCATTAAGTTGGTACTACAGTTAAGTGAATCTGGCTTCCCCATTGACTTTGCTTGTCATTGAGTTTGCAAAAGATGATCACATGATCCCAGGACATTGCAACCGCCATAAATACAAGTCAATTGCCAGGCATCTGAATTTTGATCTTGTGACTATGGGGATTCCCCAACGGTCATAAGTGTGAAATACAGTCATAGGTCCCTTTTTTCAATGCTGTTGTAACTTTGAATGGTCACTAAATGAACTGTTGTAAGTCAAGGACTACCTGTACTTCAGACTTCTTCTGTGTAAGCTGCCCAGAGTCCCTTAGGGGCACTTGAGAGGGCAGCAAATAAATAAATAGATGTCTGAACCCAGCTACAGTTGTCAATAGATGTCGGGAATAGAAGGAACGTACATAGCAATAGTACTCAGACTTATATACTGCTTCATAATGCTTTACAGCACTCTTTAAGCAGTTTACAGAGTCAGCATATTGCCCCCAACAATCTGGGTTCTCATTTTATCAACTTTAGAGGGATGGAAGATTAAGCTGGTCAGGATCGAACTGCTGGCTGTAGCCAGAGTTAGCCTGCAATATTGCATTCTAACCACTGCGCCACCACGGCTCTCAGGAAGATTGCAATAGAGAAATGGGTCCTGTTGCATTTTATGTGATAGAGCATAAATTGGCCAATTTAATGTCTTCTGTTTTGCTTTATTCTGAGGGCTGTACTCTTTGGTGTACTCATGTATGCATAAGTATCATATACTCATCTCTAATGTATCATGCAACAGTAATTATCAACTGAGTGAATTTAGAATCTCTCCCTCCTGTTCTTTGCCCCAGAGCAATTTTAGAAAGAGGCAGCTGTTTGGTAAAATCACCCAACTGAGTCACTATGGCTTGCTGTAGGGCAAACACAATAATCCAGAGGCATTGAGCTTAGGAGGAGCCTGGTCAGCAGTGCCTGCACAATCCTCTTTTCTCAGGAAGGCTTGGGAATTAACCTTATCGCATCTCTTCTGATTTATTGTCTAGCTTTCCTTTTTCTTCTTCCTTGGCCCTGCTGCTTCACTCCCTTCCCCGCTTCTCCAGGCTTAGACCTCAGACTTGCACATGCAAATTTAACAGCTCTCTACCTGTAAGCCGGGCATTTGTGTTCACCTCGGTGAAAAGAATTTGGTGGCCTGGCTGACCACAGCCAGTTTTGTTTATAATGGGTGCAATTTATCTGATTCAGGTGCACTGTGGCCAGGTATGAAACCTGAAAGTGGTTTAATTCAGACTCCATCTCCAAGTCAGCACAGTGTTCTTACCTGCACTACAGGGTTAACCACAAGCCAATCCAGCCCAGCACATTATTCTTACCCTATTCAAGGTAAAGGTCGGCATGGTTTTTACTTACGTACCTCTTCCTGTAACCTGGTCAAGAAGCCACAAAGGGGCCAGCACGTTTTCGTCTCTGTTTTGTGCATGCTTCTCTCTGCTTGGCAAGCTCTGCTTCTGCCACCTCTCTTGCTCACCGTTTGCCTGCCTCTCTGCTCTACCAGGTGAATTTTACCATGCTCTGCTTTCGAAACCCTCACAGAAATGGGGAGAAACCATCTGGGTATGGGTCACGTGCATGTATACAAATGGCTAAAAAACAATGGTAATAATAATGTCCTTATTCAGCATGCAGTGTTTGCCATGTGCTTAGGTTTACAAGACATGCATAAAGGTTAGCTTTATCAACCTGCAGTAACTTGATTTCTCAACAATAAGGATCGGCAAATCACTTTTTAATCAACATTAAAATCCATCAGAAGTTTTCAAAGTTGCAACAGAACTATTCAGATCCTTTACTCAACCTGCCATTAAAATTAAGCTGCAAGGAATAGAATGTTCTTTTGGTTTCTAATAGGCAATTGTCATTAAAAGAAGAAAAACCTCAGCTCGTTGAATGGGCTGAATATGATTCAGAAATACGTGATGGTACATTGCATTTAAAAATACAACATAGACAGTAAGTGACTCTAGCTATCATTGAGCAGGTCTCTTTGACTAATTGCAAGCAGGGAGAAAATGGGAGAAGGAAAAACTGGAGTGACAGATTCTGTGACATTATGGCATTAAAAAAGAAATAAGCAACTCTGAACATTTGATACCCCGCAGAAGTAGGAGGGAAATGCAATCAGATTGCTGCAGTATATCTTACCCGAAAGGAGCATCCCTAAGTGGATTATGTCACTTTATGGAATGGCAGGAACAACAATGTGTGTGCGTGCGTGTTTGTTTTTCATTAGTTGATTAAGAATTGTAAGTTTCAAGATACCAGTGGGATATAGCTTTGGTGACATAAAGTAATTTTATATTGCATTGAAGTAGGTCATCCACTTTAAGGATTAAATCGTTTATTTTAAAGTTCTCTTGGGGGCTGCGGGCAGCTGTTGTTTGGGATAAAGATGCAGTTTCCATTAGCATCCAACTTAAAATCACTTCAGTACTGAATTTCTTGACATAGAGATGGTTCTTCTATTTGTTTATTGTATCTGATTTAGAGTAGGCCATCTATAAGTGCTTTTGGTTTCAGTGGATTTAAGCTTGCCAACCTCTGGCTTGGATCTGGAATGGAACAAATTAACCTATCCGTTGTGTGTTGCAATTGTTAATAATCAGCATGATGTGCAACCTGGAACAACATGTGGTAGTGTGTCTTTGTACCCTAATGAGGGTTCTCTTCATACTATTCTCTCAGCTGTCTTCCAGGTTCCATTTTTTTCCCCACCTGATACTTAACGATTATTAAGCAACTTAGGTTTCCTAAGGCTATTTCTAATTGGGTGCCCTGTTAATTTATTTTGGGGATAGTAGTTCTGAAAGGACTTACTCACAGAGTGTCATCATCTGCCTGTTTTCAATGACTGTCTTTTTAGTTCTAACCCTCTTAGAAGCAGGCCGAATGGTAATGATGTTGATCCAAGCAAAATCAGACTTTGAAATCATTAGGACAAGTTTGTAACGCGACTGATTGCAGCTTCAAGTACCAGTGCAATCCTACACATACTTTCCAAATTGATGCCGCCTTTTGGACTTAAAGCTCCATTATTCTTTAGCAAATATGTCGCCTGACATTTAGCAAAGATTGCAAAAGATTTCCATTGATGTCTGTTCAGAGGTAGTTTTCACTGACTTATATAACACTCATTCTTAGATTAACTTGTATAAATTTATACACTTAAATTACACAGTTTAATAGAACTAACTGCTTATGCTGTGGTTTCATGGTATGTATTTGTGAGAAGAGCAAATTACATTCATGTAGCATTTTTTTAAGTAAATCCAAAAGGCATATAATTATTTTGAGAAGGAAGAACAGCTGCATGGTTATGTCTCAGTGGGACATGGTCATTTTGTCTGATGTTTCTGTGAATTCCTTTCATGAAGGGAGACATAGTTCGAACTAAAAGATCCTGGAAATGTTTCATTTTCCTTCTGTTAGGTAGTTTTAACATTCCTCTGCATTTTAATGACACAGATTAATACACGGTCTTCTTCTGAACTTCTTACAGTTTCAAGTACCAATGCCAACTCAATTTCCACTTCCTCGCCTGCTGTCAATATTTCAGCTGCCACCGCCAGCATCTCTCAACAGGTACATAATCCTTCTGTATAAGTTAGCCTGTTCATTGTAATGTATTTTATTCCATGCTCCAATATATTTAGCAACTGGATGATATGTGACAAATAATAATTTGATTTTATGAAATGTGTAAGTATCCCATCTGAGACACATATCTCGCTGTCTTTTCCTGTGTTATTTGTTACAAAGCTGACCAGTTCAGACTTTCAGGGGAAAAAAAGAACCAAGAAGCATTAGCTTGATTCCGGAATGGAACAACGTGCCGTGGCCAATGTGCCATAAGACAACTTACCACGGCTAACTCAGACCACAGGCCAGCTCGCTGTGGGACAATTCAACAATTCGATTTAATTATTTAACAAAATTTAAAAAAATATTTTAATTTTTGTCATTCACATTTCATTTTGTCCCTCTTTTTGCCTCCCTTCTTTAATGATTCTCTTCCACCATTTCTTTGATATTAGTGCAACTCTTGTCCCACGGCGAGTTGTCCCGTGGCAAGTTGGCCACAGCCCGTCTGATTCAGCCTTAAGTGTTGTAATTCTGATTTTTTGTTTGTTTGTTTGTTTGTTTTGGCTTAGCTGTCAATTGTATTTAATATCAGCTAGTTCCCACATCCTTGATAGGCATACAGGTTGTTGTCCAATATACCTAAGGAGCAATAGGATGGTAAATATAATATTTACAGAACAAAATAAAGTTTGTTAGGTCAGTGACCACTGCAAAGATAAGGTTTAAATATGTAGCAGAGTTCCACTGAGAAGTGAGTTCACTTTAGAATTACACTACCTAGCTCCAGATGACCTGTTTAAAAGCAACGTGGAGTTTTATACAGTCCCTGTGTGGATCACCTAGCCAACCTTGTCTGAATTCTAAAAAAAGCTAAGCATGGTTGGCTCTGATAAGTATTTGATTGGGCTATCATCAAGAAATCCCAGGTCTGTAGCTATGGTCTAGATGGTAATGTTTAAAAATTCCTAAAAGAAGGCAGTTATACATCACATCCGTATAGTATTTCTTATGTCTGCCTTATAGGGTAGACTACACTAAGAAACTAATGGCATATAGGTCTAAAACCACTTTTATTAGAATAGCTGTAGTAATAGAATCTTGCAAGTCTGAATGTGCTTCCCTCCTCCTTCACTTTATCTAACTTGCCATCATCCTATATAGGCTGTTGAGAGTTGTAATTGCCATAGCTGGAATGTAACAAGACAGAGAAGGCTATCTAATACAGACTGGTTTTAAGATTCTTTTAGCACTTGACAATTCTTTGCCCTCTTTCAGTTCTTATTTTTTTCTTAAAGGAGTATCCTACTTACACCATCCTTGGCCAAAGTCAGTACCAGCCGTATTATCCCAGTTCAAGTTTTGGCGTGATAGCACCAGCAGACAGCAGCACAGAGACCAACACATTAACATCTGCCACATATCCTTTGGAAAAATCAAATGCCATGGTGCCTACCCAGACGGTGCAGAGACATTCCTCTGGTAAACTCATGGGGGAAGATGGATTTGTAAATGCTTTTTAGATCAGTATTTCTTAACCTCAGAAACCTTTAAGATGTGTGGACTTCAAATTCCAGAATTCCCCCAGCCAATATGCTGGAGCTAGAGGGTGGCGGGAGGCTATAAGGCCTCAACTATATATTAAATTGTACCACAGAAGTGCATTTATGTTGATCCTAGCAACGCCTATTCCTTTTATTGATGATCTGTAACTGAACCAGGTAGAAAAGTTCTCCTATCAAGAGGACCCCTCAAATTGAGAGAATAGATTGAGTTTCCCATTGAGTTACCCAGCAAGGATGTAACTCAGGTTCTGATTTGTGCTGATTCAAAGTTAGCGCTGCTTCCAATCATTCTGTTGCCCAGCTGCCCCATTAGGATAGATTATTTTGGTGTTCATTGCAGATTTGTTCCACTATCTGGAATAAATGGGTTGTCATCTCCGCTCATCTTAAAGTCCAGATCATTAAACCTTCTACATGCTGCTCTGCAATATTGCAAGGTAGCATTTTAGAAAAGGAAGGGGTGGGTGTACTCTTGAGGAAAGGCATTGCACTGTTAGAGCAAAAACTGGAAAATGCTGCAGATGCCAAAGCTGGACAGTGAGGCAGATGCCTCCTTAGGTGGCATCTCATTCTAAGAACACTTTCCCTATGGAGAGTCTTGATGCTTTTTCTGGATTTTTCATGTGGCGCAGTGGTTAGAATGCAGTATTGCAGGTAAACCCTGCCCACTTCCAGGAGTTCAATCCTGACCAGCTCAAAGTTGACTCAGCCTTCCATCCTTCCGAGGTCAGTAAAATGAGGACCCAGATTGTTGGGGGCAACATGCTGACTCTCTAAACCCTCTTACAGAGAGCTGTAAAGCACTGTGAAGCAATGTATGCTATTGCTAACATGTCTTTAAAACTTTCATTTTATGCTTTCATTAATTTCAAGGCCCTTTTTAATTATCTTTTTGCTGTTTTACATGTTTACTTGCCTGTTTTCTTTCATGTACTTTATTAATTTTTATTTAAAGGTTGTTAATTTGAATTATGTAAGCTGAACTGGAATACGGTATTGAAGGCACAAGATACATAAAAATTGCTGTTCTTTTTCTTCTAGGTGATCCATCTACCAGTCCATCATTGCCAAGAGCGACTGCAAGTAAACATGTAGATGAGCAATCTAGGAGAAACATGACTGCAAAAAACAGAGGCAAGAGGAAAGCAGACGCTTCTTCACCGCAGGACAATGAGCTTGAAGTTTGTGTTTGCCATTTTTCTCTCTCTCTCTTTCTTTCTTTCTTTCTTTCTTTCTTTCTTTCTTTCTTTCTTTCTTTCTTTCTTTCTTTCTTTTTCTTTCTTTCTCTCTCTCTCTCTCTCCTTGGAAATTTGAATTAATGGAAAGATAGTAAAGTTAGGCAATTGTACTCTGCGAATCTAATGGTGAAATTGGTCTATTTAACTTTCTCTTTATTACTATAAAACATGAAAAATTAGCTAAGCTAAATAGGACTTCAAATTGAAACATGAGATCACCACTTGAGTATGAACGTCAAATGAAGTATTGTGATACAAAAAGGATTTGAAAGTTCTGGATAAGGATGAGGACGACACCTGTTGAATAAGGAATGCCAGGAACCCAGTTTCTTTTCCTCAAAACAGGGACCATCAATCGACAGGTGTCACATTGCAGTATAGAGAGTAGAACTGATGTAATGTATATTTGTCTCAATCTCTTCAGAGGTTCATCTTCATTTCTGAAGTTCATAATCTAGTCCCCCCCCCAAAAAAAATCCAGTTTTCTCCAACAGAGTCAGATGTAATTTGGTGGTGATGTATACCAGAAACAAATGCTTTCCCCTGTCAAAAGTTAAGGCTCTTATAACCTTTTAACAGCATTAAGTCACTGTGTGGTTTGGTTTTGTTTTTACAAAAGCCAGAACAGGATAGGGGTGCTTTTGAGGCACTTGAGGGTGGGCAGACAACCAACCACCACCAAAATTAACTTATTTCATTTCTGCTTCCTTCCTCAGAGAGTATTTCTGTGGGACTTGGATGAGACCATCATAATATTTCATTCTCTTCTGACAGGCTCATATGCCCAAAAATACGGGAAGGTATTGATTTTTTGCTGCTGTTGTGTTTACTATAAAATGTATAGATGATTTCATCTACTCTCTAGGTTAAGCCATCGAAAGGATAAGATTGGAAGTTGAAGTCGAAACATCTTAAAGTTGGGAAACATAGATCTGGAGAAATGACCAATGCTATATTCCCCCCAAAGGGAAAGTTAGCACCCGGGTGAAACTTGGTGAGCGTCTCTAGATCAAGGGAGGGCTCCTTTAGGAGGTGTGATACCAGTACCTCCTTCAAGGGTACCTCGTGGTGGTGCATGATAGCATCTTTTTAGGTTGGAACAAAGAATTTTAAATCATTTCTCATTCTCTTTAAAGTTTTGACTATATTCCCATGCATGTGTATATTTCTGACTTCCATATACAGCAGCCTATCTTAGAATGCCAGAAAATAGCAGTAGAGTTTTTATGATGTATGCAAACCTGAAAGGTTCCATCCAAAAGTATCTGCAGGGAGGAAGGAGGGGGGAAAAGTCAAGGTGGGGGGCCAGGCAATCAAAGCCCCATCCTTTTTTACATCACAATAAATGGAAAAAATTGAAGGCTTTGATTGGATGATTGTAGTCACCACCTTGCCTTCTTTTACCCCATCCCCATTCCCCTTGGACATTATTGGTTCTATCTTTAAGAGCTGCTTAAAAGTATTTTTATGTATAGTAGTCCTTGACTTATGATCGTTTTTCAGACTTATGACCATTGCAGCATCCCCAGAGACATGATCAAAATTTGGACGCTTGGCAATTGACTCGTATTTATGACGGTTACAATGTCCCAGGGACATCTGATCACTTTTTGCAACCTTCTGACAAGCAAAGTCAATGGGGGAGCCCGATTCACTTAACAACTGTGTTACTAACTGAACAACTGAAGTGTTTCACTTAACAACAAGAAAAGTCATAAAATGGAGCAAAACTCACTTAACTGTCTTACTTAGCAGTGAAATTTTGGGCTCAATTGCTGTTGTAAATTGAGGACTACCTGTACATTAATAAAAATAAAACAAGTAATTCACCTGATAACACTTGTATTTCCTGCAAGCTTCTATGAATGTATCTTTTGCATTAGAATGTCTGACGTCTTGTGAAAGTTTTTAATATCATCCCTTCAGAAAGACTCTCTGTTCTAACTTTTAGGATCCCAGTTTAGTTGTTGGCTTTGGTTTGACAATGGAAGAAATGATTTTTGAAGTGGCTGACACACACTTGTTTTTCAATGACTTGGAGGTAGGCAAATTCTGACTTTACATATCTTGGAATGTCATAATTGCAAGTCTGAACTTCCAAATTAGTCAATTAAGATTAACAGTAGGAGATCTGTGTTCTTTCAATATTAGTTTCGTTTTTTGATAGCATTGTAATCAGTGGATTAATAGCACCCTCTTTTTTATTAGAGATGAAAAAAGCATTAAACTCAGATCTGATTTGTCTTGCTTCAGTCCTCTAAATTGCTTTAAAGCAAGGGTGTCAAACTGCCGGCCCATGGGCCGGATGCGTCACGTGGAAGCCACGCCCACCCCATTGCCGGCAATAGCAAACGTCGCGAGTTTGACATGTCTGCTTTAAAGTATAATTTTGAGGAGTATCATGCCTTATTGTTTTATCATTGATCATGTTATCTTTAAATGAGCATAGAGATCAAACAGAAGTCTTCCATTATTTGAAAGATTTATATTAGGACTGCAATCCACAGAGACAAAACTGGCTAGGTAGGAATTCTAATCATTAAGCAGGCAACTGATTAGGGAAGAGTGCATTGAATGCTATTGCTAGTTAGCAGAGATCATGATTGGGCATAATAGATTTCTTTCTATCTTTTCATTACAGGAATGTGATCAAGTACATGTAGAAGATGTTGCATCAGATGACAATGGCCAGGATTTAAGGTGTGGATCTGTGCATTCATCTCAAAACCAAAAATAACGTTGACCACCAAGAGAAGATTAAAATATTTAAAATCATTTAAAACATTAAAAGCATTTAAAACATTTAAAATACAAGGCAACCAAGCTTTTGTCGGGCACTCCCGACATCATCAGGGTTGAAAAAGGCGGTTAAGGGTGGAACTTATATGCAGCCCTGCATCTGGCTACATGAACGTGTGATCGGACCCAGCTGCCTGTGCTCCTGCGCTCCGGATACATTCCTTTTACTTGTGCATAAGCCCTTCACCTCCCCTCTCTGTTTCCCATCACACATCCCTTTGATACCGAGGCCGGGGGGGCTTTCCCCCGTGCCTCCACCACCAGTCATTCTCCCCGCACCACCAACCATACGTCCGTGATTCTTCTCTAATTCAGGGGTCTTATATATATATGTGTTTTTTCAAAATTTGGATTGCTAACAAAGAATTAAGGGAGAACTGGAATAGCCATGAGCATTCAGCAACATCTAATTCCTCCTTGTGAATAAGGGTGTTTTAGAGCCTCAGAGCACTTGATTGACAGACCAAGGCAATTCTTGCATACAAGGAATTCAGCAGGATGCTAAAAATAGAAATGGTGTTCAACAAGCTAGGGCATCCTCTGAAAGAAGGGCAAGCGATCTAGAATCTTTAAACAATAACTATTGAAATCCAGATTGTGAGGTACATGTAACCCAAAGGCTTCCTTTTCTATTCCAGCAATTACAGTTTTTCCACTGATGGCTTCAGCGGTTCAGGAAGTAATGCCAATCATGGTTCAACAGGAGTCCAGGGAGGAGTAGATTGGATGAGGAAGCTGGCATTTCGCTACCGGAAAGTACGCGAGGTCTATGATAAATACAAAAACAATGTTGCGGGTGAGTATCAGCAGGTTTTTTACACTGTTTCTACAGGAGGCGAGACTCTTCTATTAAAAATTATTAAGCTTCTGGAAAGAACCAGAATCAGCCAGCCATCCAATAGTGACTTTGTTGTTCATTAGCCATTTGGCCATATCAAAATACAAAATAATAAAACACAGAACATTAATAAGACAGAAATGGAATAAAAGAAACAGATTAAATAAAAAGAATAAAATAAAAAAAATGCAAATTTTATGTCAGTATATCACCCCGTACTACAGTTTATCCCAATCAGACCCACCTATGTAGATTTCAGCTGAACTGTTTTATTCAAATAGAGCCATCCATCCAATTTTGGCAGAATTGGAGCAGGACTTGAATAATGTTTTGAAAGGTTATTAGCATTGGGGTAACTGCATTGAAATGTTCACACTTGACATACACAGTCTTCTGGAATGCAACCAAGGGATATATCATAACCTTGGTGTAACATGCTTCTCCTTGAGGAGATGGTATTCTAGGAACATGAAATATAAATAAATAAGATAAAAAAAACCTTTCCCAGCACAGTTCTCTTCAGTTTTTTCATTGAATACACTCCCAGTGTACTCCCAGTGGCCTTGCTGGCTATAGAATTCTGGGAATCGAAGTTCACACATCACAGATCTGTCCAGGAAATGCAGAATTCCATTTTTTGTGAAGTGCCGTCAGAGGGTTTACTTTCACACAGTGCTTTTTAACCACACCAAAACTATCCTCTTCTTTATCAATGTTATTTTTCTCCCTGTGGTAAAAATATATCCCCCACTTCCACTATTAGCTCTATTCATATGTCATGAGTTTGTGAAAGTCATTTCACAAAGATTTTTTTTAAAGAAGGGTAAGGCTGACTGCGTAATAGGAGATATTTTATATGCATCTGTTTATGAATTTGAACTTGGTTTTGACTTATTGCAGAAAGACAATTTGGAAATGAAAATCTTTAAAAAAAATGGTCTTAGTATATGAAAATTGTACTTTCTGCTGTTCTCATGAAGACATCTCCAAATTGGAAAAAAAATCCCAATTTATTGAATGCAGAAAACACAAAGTTGGTCCCTGACACTAATGACATTTCTATTTCCTGATCAACTTCATTTGTTTTTTTCCCCCTCTAGCTCTCCTCAGTTCTGAAAAAAAAGAAGCACTACAGCGTTTAAGGGAAGATATAGAAGTGTTAACAGATTCTTGGTTGGGAACAGCGTTAAAATCCCTCCTGCTCATTCAGTCCAGGTACAAAAATGAGAATCTATTGTAGCAGAATAGTTCTGGTACAGTATCTGCTGCCACATTTGTGGGAGATGAAGTGTCTCATAAACAGCATAGTGTTAGAAGTGTCCAACCTGAATCCTAAAGAGATGGTCAGGTCTCACTGGAGAACCTTATAACTGGGCACCCAAACTTAAAGGTCACATCTGAGCAAGATAAGTCAGAATTGTTTAGAATGTTTATATAACCGTGGATGACCTTGTGGTGATACACTCTTTGTTCTTCTTGCCAGTAGAATTCTGGAATAGCTATTCTGCTCTTGTAAGCCAACTATGGTTTGTTCATAGCTTATTAAGAGCAAGCCAGATTCCAGGTTTGCATATAACATTGTCTAAATTTGTCAAACGTCTAAGCCAGTGGTCTTCAAACTTGGCCCTTTTATGACTTGTGGACTTCAACTCCCAGAATTCCTCAGCCAGTGTGCCTGGCTGAGGAATTCTGGGAGTTGAAGTCCACAAGTCATAAAAGGGCCAAGTTTGAAGACCCTTGCTCCAGGCTTTGCAGGAGAAGCAATATATGCACCTGCTATTCATTCATGATTAAAAATTCTCAAATACTGGCCTCCTGCTATGACTAATTGTGGCCATTGCTGCAGAGGAGATTTAAATTGAGCTTCCTTTTCTCTTATTCTTTTCCCGATGCGTCTAGTCTTCAGTTTGTAGATTTTTTCCTTTGTCGTTTGTGTAATAGATCTTTTACAAAATAAAAGCAAAAATACATGTCCCACATATATCTTCTTTTCCTCCCTCTTGTTTTTCCTCCAGAAAAAATTGTGTGAATGTACTGATTACAACCACTCAGCTAGTGCCAGCTCTGGCCAAAGTCCTGCTGTATGGACTTGGTGAAGTGTTCCCCATTGAGAATATTTATAGCGCTACAAAAATAGGTAAGTGAATTACATCAAATTCCTCTGGGTGGTGTTAGGAATTCCCATTGAATGCAAACTGAATATGAAAAAGAAAGAAAGAAAGAAAGAAAGAAAGAAAGAAAGAAAGAAAGAAAGAAAGAAAGAAAGAAAGAAAGAAAGAAAGAAAGAAAAAGAGGAAAGAAAGAAAGAAAGAAAAAGAGGAAAGAAAGAAAGAAAAAGAAAGAAAGAAAGAGAAAGAAAGAAAGAAACCATCACAGTCAAGTATTTCTTTGTTTTAATCACAAGGATGTGTGTCCCTTCCTGGCAGGTAAAGAGAGCTGTTTTGAACGAATTATCTCTCGATTTGGAAAGAAAGTGACCTATGTGGTGATTGGAGATGGCCGTGATGAAGAATTGGCAGCCAAACAGGTGACTGTGGGCTTCATTCTTTTTCCCCTCTTAGCACCCAGGATGGTCTGTTGTCTGTTTCTGCTAGCTCTTTGACTGCAGCTTCTGCTTCAGAGCTTTCTAGTGCCTTGGTCACCCCTCACCCAGGCACATCCATAGATCTAAAAACACCTTCATGACTGACAGGCTGTTAACCTTTGCTTTCTTGGGTGACTCCAACCCTCGGAAAATACAGTATTACATTTGCCCATATTAGTCAGCCCCATTCAGATTACGGGCGTGTATTCTTGCTGCACAAAGACGGCTGAGTGTGGTGGCTAAAATGTTGGGCTTGGTTGGGGAAACCTAAATTCAAGTTTCCATGGACCAAGTAGCTAACATTGTGCTAGGCATACTCTCGGTCTAATTTATTTCACCGAGTTCATATGCACTAAAAATGAGCAGAGAATCTTGAGTCCCCAGAAGGACGGTGAAATATAGTAGTAGTAGTAGTAATAGTAGTAGTAGTAGTAGTAGTAGTAGTAGTAACAACAACAACAACAACAACAACAACAACAACAACAATAATAATAATAATAATAATAATAATAATGATGATGGTGTTGGAAGGGACCTTGGAGGTCATCCAGTCCAACCCCCTGCCCAGGCAGGAAACCCTACACCATTTCGGACAAATGGCTGTCCAGTCTCTTCTTAAAAGCTTCCAGTGTTGGAGCATTCATCGCTTCTGGAGGCAGGTTGTTCCATTGGTTTAATTGTTCTAACTGTCAGGAAGTTTCTCCTAAGTTCTAGGTTGCTTCTCTCTTTGGTTAGTTTCCACTGTTGCTTCTTGTCCTGCCTTCAGGCGCTTTGGAAAATAGCTTGACTCCCTCTTCTTTGTGGCAGCCCCTGAGATACTGGAACACTGCTATCATGTCCCCCCTCGTCCTTCTCTTTGTTAAACTAGACATACCCAATTCCAGCAACCGCTCCTCATATGTTTTAGCCTCCAGTCCCCTAATCATCTTTGTTGCTCTTCTCTGTACTTGATGGCGATAAATAATGAAAGAATAGGCAATCTGAGTTCTGGAAGTTTTGTGTGCCCCCCCCCCGAACCTCCCCCCCCCCCAACATTGGAAGTCCTTGTCAGGCTCCAAAAACTAAGAAAGACACACTGAGGTTCTTTGAGCAATCTCCTTTATTACAACAAAAGAGAATATTTGTATCTCAGGGTTGAACTGTTGGGTCCTTGGTGCTCTCTGAGTTTGGTGGTTTTCTTGCAGGCGTTTCATTTCCCAACTAGGTAACATCATCAGTGCCCTAATAATTCCTTGATTGTTCCCCACCTATGGACAAAAACCTTGCCCAAACTAAAGCAGATTAGTTGCACCATTAAATACTGAGATCTATTAGGGAGGAGCTGCCTTAACTCTTCCTCCCACACTAAGCTTCACTGTCACTTGCTACTCTGGAATGCATTCCCTCCTTCCTGGGAATCCAAAGTACATTACACCACACTCCTCCAGCAACAGTTGCTGCAAATTGTAGTGCAACTTCCCAAACATTCCAAAGTCCCCCCCCCCCAAAAAAAGAGAAAAAAAACCTGGCCTTGCCCACATGCAGAATTTGTTACCTCCGTGCCCCTTTATGCAGAAAAAGGCTTAATTGTACCTCTTCCTTTGCACCCCAACTTGTCCCCTTTGCCAGAATGAGTCCCATTTCTCACAATATGGTCTCTCTTCTTTTGCAGCACAACATGCCGTTCTGGAGAATCACAAACCATGCAGATCTGGTGTCCCTTCACCAGGCCCTCGAATTAGACTTTCTGTGAGGACCTGGGCCCAAAGCAGCTTGGCCCTGCTCTCAACAGGAACCAGTCTGGGGACTTTCTTTTTCATCCAGACAAAGAAATGCAGCCAGTGGAAGTGTACAGCAGGAGGTTCTTCCCCCATCGCTGCTTTCCCGGGAGAGCCCACAAAGCCTTGGCAATGCAGCTCCGGTGCTCGAATGGTTCTCTTGTGTTTTTTTTTGGCAAAGGGAACTGGGAAACTTCCAGGTGCAGAATCTCCAGCAGCAAAGGTCTTTCTCCCCGTGTAGCCCTCAGTGGTATTATACTAAAGAAGAGAAAAGCAGTACAGTTTTGTAGAATACTTTTGCCCCCTGCAGACTTCTTTCAAGCTGTTAAATCGGAAAGGAAGGCAAATGGATTGTTTTTATTTTATTCTCTCTTTTTTTTTTTTTTTAACAGAAAGGGGTCCAGACATGTCTCCCCTTCTTGCAAAGCTCAGAAATAGAACTGTTTATATGTTAGGGGAAAAAAATAATAAAATAAGGTGTTTGGAAGATGGGGAATCTTCTCTTTCTTAGTAAGCCAGGGACCGAAAATATCCAACCATTCCCTTGAGGCACCATGGCTGTCCCCCAATTCTTTTTCTAGCAAATACCCCCACTTGACTAGCACATGGCAGATTTTTTAAGTAAGGAGGACAAGATGCTAGAATCTAATTGTCCCATGCCATCCCTCTTTTCAGCAACAGCATAACTGGGTAATAAGAAAGCTCCTTTTCTTAGATCCAAGATGACAGCCTGCCAGTCCAGGAGTCCCCTTCAGATGCCATCTTTCCATGCACCAAGGATAGTGTCCTTTTTTGTTCCGATTTCTTGTACTGCAATTTTTGTGAAGCAAGGATTTGGGCAGAACAAGGTACCTAATGGAAGTCACCATTAGGTTACTAAATGGCAGACAAGAACAGTGGCTACTTGTTAGGGAGGCAGTGTTGTGATTCCTTTTGATGCAAGTGAATGAATGGTAGACATTGAGGGGGCACATGGTGGGCTGCAACACTGAGTGGTCAGAAAAAAGGTTCCTGTTTTCTTGCTCAAGGAGACACCCAGCCTCCTTGTGGCCCGGTGTCCTTTGCAAGTCCTTTAAAAGACAGTCTAGCAGTATTTTATTGGATGCAAATGTGTTCTCCCTCCCAGATCCCCCCCCTCAGATGCAGAATGGAATGAGCCTCTGTTCTGTTGAATCGCGTTCCTGCAGATTTTTATTTCTCAGCAAAAGTGAGGGAGTCATTTGCCTTGAAGGGCCCTTGCTTGACTTTGGAAATAACTCTTGTGCCTTAACTTCTTCCCGGAGTCCTGGAAACGTCAACTGTTGCGTGGAAGAGAGAGTGTAAGCCTGCATCTCTTCCGTGTTGAAAGTTAATCTTTTGATTCTATTTTTTTAAGCACTCTCAGTCAGCGTAGCCAGTGAACGTTGAGCCGCCAAGAAACTGGCTCAGAGGGGTTTTTTTTTTTCCTAAAAAGAAGCCCCTTGCCAGCCCCTTGTCAGGTTTCGGAAACACCTTTGGCCATGTGGGAAGCTTTTGGCATCAGGTTCTGATTTTTGTAACGCCTCCTGTCCAATATACATGAGCTGATTTGTTTTCCTAAACCACTCAGGGCAATGGTACATTTTCTGTATTAACTTTTATAAAAAAAAAAAAGTCGATTCAGCTCTTGCACCACTGAATTTGCTGGCTGCTTTTCTCTTGGGGCTTCATAGAGTTTGGAAACCAGTGTGTTGCCACCTTCCTTTCCACTGTTTAGCTTTCAAGCACGCCTATTTTTTTTTTCTAATGCAAAGGTGGAAGGACATGCATCATCTTAAGTACGTGAGAAGCTGTCATCTCCCACCAAGTGTGAGAAATAGGCTGCAACTGCAATTGCATACCCTAAGCAAAAGTAAGTTACAGTTGCTGATTCTCCCTCAGGATCCCGTCAACGTCCTGGTGTCAGCTGTGCTTATAAATAGTGATTGAAGGGCATTAATGGCTATCTAGATTCCTTCAATATCATGTTCTATGTAATGGCAACTGTCCTGTGAACTGGAAAAAAAATAAAGTCTTTTATTTTCTATACAACCTCTCAATTGTTCTTTTTTTCCCCTTTTCCTGGAAATTCTACCCAGAATTGCTCTCAAGTTTGGATAGCTTGATAGTTTGGGGGATCGTGATTTCTGTCAAAGAAGATCAGAAATTCTTGCTGATCTACTAAAAATCATCAGGCTCTATCAGTCCACATGTCTTTTGCCCTACCCTTACCCACAGGGCTTACTCAAGGTGTTCTCTATATAAGATAGAAGATAAATCTAAATCTCTTACTTTTCTTAAGTGGTGTCAGTGGGATCTTGGGCTTTACAGTTGGTTCTGCCCTTAAACTCCCCAGCAAAAGTTGCCATGTAATTTAAACATGACTGACCTGAGTGAAATGCAACTGCTTTTATTTCCTTTTACTTTTGCCTCCAAATATGTTCTTTGCAATAAGTATAGGTATCAAAAGCTAGATGGGTGTGATTTTCTTTTTAGCTGAATGCCACACGCCGATTCTGAAACAAGGCTCTAGGTTTTACTTCCCTGTTTCCAAATAAACTTGGCCAGCTTGATCACATTTGTTTAAAAATGACATTAAGGCTCAGGTAACACCAGCAATGAGTGACCTACGGCCGTTCAAATGTGGTTCACAGTAGTTCCTGTCAAAGTGGCCAATTATGCAAACTGCTCAGAATTCAATATTGCTTCCCCATGCTTCTAGATCATTAATCTCAACTAAGGTTCACTGAATATATCTAATATACTTAAATCATGAAATCTCATATGATTGAACCACAACAACAGGTAAGAATAATCTTGCTTTTCAGATCTTTTGATGGCCTCATGCACTAGCTCACAAAGAAGTGACTGGATTTTGAGCATTACATTCTATCACAGGGGTGTCAAACTGCTGGCCCGCGGGCCGGACACGTCACGTGGAAGCCGCGCCCACCCCGTTGCCGGCAATGGCAAAACCAGCCTGATACGTTGCGCAATGTCATGTGACGTCATGAGTTTGACATGCCTGTTCTATCAGGACCCTCAGCAGTCACCTGTAGTCATTTGTTTTGGATTTGCACTTTACCTGACAGATCTCGGTACTGAGAAGTCACACTGAGCATAGTAAGGCAGTTTTCTCAGGCAGCTTATGGTAGAGGCCATGCTAATAAATCCATTAGCTGACAATTTGGCCTGTTATATTGGAGCAAAATTTACCAGTTCTATGAACTTTATAGAACATGGTCATATTCTCTTATTTGCTAATAAATTGCTTTAGCAGCCCTTCACACCCTTGAAGACAAAAAGGACTTGCATCCCATCTTGAAGGTGTAAGCTTACCTAATTTCTCTTTAAAATTTAATGGCACTCTGGTCCCAACACAGTGCACATAAAAACGGACAACATATTTAGTTACTATTGTTTTCTAGATAGATGTAAACCTTTATCTAACCCAGGGGTATCAAACTGCTGGCTCGCGGGCCGGATGCATCCTAGCAAAACCGCACCCACCCCATTGCCAGCAATGGAAAAAAAGTCACGATAGGTCGCGACACGTCACGTGATGTGAGTTTGACACTCCTGATCTAAACTCTTGCAGGTGCTGTTCAGATAGCACAGATGAACAGGAACTGAAATACTTTATTCAGTCTAAACATTTCAGAAGCGGCAATAAATTAACAATTGCACTGAATTCACACTGAATTTGGCATTACTATATATGAAACATAATAAACTGGGATACAGTTTAGTGAAAGAAGGGAGAGGTTACGACTAATGTAGTATCTACTCTCTGAAGTGAAAAGCAGGTGGGGTTTTGAATTTTTTTTTAAATGCCTATGTATACTAAATCCTTTCCTAGTGCTTTGCTATTCCCTCCACTCCAACTTGCAATCTTCCGTTGGAGGCTTGAATAAACTGAATATGCACATCTCTGCCATGCATACTTTGTTGATTCCAATCAATCTAAATCAGGGATGTCAAACTGCCAGCCCACGGGCTGGATGCGTCATGGCAAAACCGCGCCCACCCCACTGCCGACAATGGGAAAAAAGTCACGATATGTCACGACACGTCACGTGACGTTGCGAGTTTGACACCCCTGATTTAAATCATTGTGAAAACCTTAAGTAACACTGACTTTTTAAAATTAGCCACATAAGGCATAGGAAGAGAGCCAAATCCAGAAAGAAGTGTTAGGCACATTTTCCAAGTTTCCCTTCAAGATAAACTTGGAAATTGGAACAAGGACTGTCCTCTCAAAACTGTTGAAATATAAACTATTTGGGCACAGGTGGCCAAAATCAAGTAGAACAGAGAGGAAGGGTTGAAGCTACTCTCGCTAGTTCAGATGTTGTATTAAAACCAAGTCAAGCCTAATGTCTTCCAGGTGTTTTGGAATTCTATTCCATCAGTCCCTGCATCAAAACAATTACAGTGAACTACCAGGTGTATGAACTTCCTCATCTCAATGAGATAGGAAAAGTCTCATCACCATGAACTATAGCATTACAACAATTCTAAACTACAGTTCATCTTCATAGTGGTAGGTTAAAGTCAGTTTATAGCTTATGCTTTAAGGATTTTGTGTTTTTCCAGATAAACTATGACACCCATAAAAACCTTGTATAGTTTCATGGTTCAGATACTATGACAAAAACTAGTTAAAAGTAGAAGTGACAGTTTGGAACCCCTCTGATGGGCACATCAAAGAAAAGGGGAAGCATGTGTCAAGGGCCATTTCAACTGATTTTTCCTGGTGAAGCATATTATCAGAACACAGGCAGATGGGCAGCCAAGTACAGTGAAGTAAGGCCTGAATTTAAGATTAAAGGTGTGACGTCTGAAAAGTGCACCAGAACTTTTTGCAACCCACAATAAGGTGCAAGTCACAGAATCCAGAATTAGAGACATCAAAAGCAATATTGATGTCCTATGGAACATCTGAACTTGCTAACTAGCATTCTTCACCTTAGGCCCTGTTTAGCCATATCTGCTGATATTGCTTCATATCTTCCACCCCTCTGCTAAAGATTCTCTTCAAGAGGACAAACAGATCTCCTTGATCTGGTGACCTCCAAATCAAGTGAATAGGAATATGTGAAGGTCTGCAGGAAACAAATAAAAAAAAATCACGGAAAACATACTAATGGTTTTTCTTACTGTTTTCCCCCCAGACATCTCTTAACTGAATGCCACTTATATATCATCCAACACATCAGTTGAGAAGCAGCAGCAAGGGAAAGGCAAATCTGCCCTGAAAAGGTAGCAGAAAAAGCTGACAAGAGCATTTTGCTGTGAGTGAACTAAGGTGCCATCAGCCTAAGTTGGTAACATCTACCTTGTATTTAAAAAAATTCCTTCCTAGCTTATTTGGTTTAGCTTATGTGTGTAATCCTGGAAGAAATATAGGCAAGGTTTCAATAGGCAAACTGGTATAAATGTTTTCTGAATCTAATCCAATTAAAGTCTTGTCTTGGTTGCCCTGGGCATAAAGGCTCATAGATACATATCACTGACAATCCCATTCCTTTGGTACTGAGTCTCTTCTGCCAAAGAGCCAGCAAAGAAGTTCTGAGAGAGTCTATACGTCCGATGGTTGATGACGGGTTCTATAACCATTTGCTGGACCACAACAGCATCTCCATTCCTGTCTACTTCATCGTAATCCATAAGGGGTACAGTTTTCATAGTGGGGTGAAAACACTTGTAGTAGATGCATTTCAAGAAAATGCCAAGGGCATAACAGACCAGGGCAGCCAGGAGTGCAGGACACACTTGGGAATCCCAGCTTGAGGGAATTCTGTACCACAACCAAGAGACAACAAGGATGATGCTATCCACAAAAAGGAAAGTGTGGTAAATAGTGGAGCGGTGGCGCGTTTTCCCCTCGGCCACATTGAACCAGCAAAAATAGAGGATAACAGCTACTGTAGCTCGATAAAACCACTCAAAGGTGGCATTTTCCATTAGGTCTGTCCCTTGCAAGGAGACCCAGAGAAACATGACCAACCAGATGCCTAGGAAGTGGAGGAAAATGTAGCCTGAGAAGACTACTGCAAAGAGCGCCAACGAGAGAATGCGAGGACACATCAGTAGGAAGTTCCACAGGAAGTAGAGGACTGAAGACAGGAAGGCCAACTTGTGTTTGTCCCGCAGGAAGCTGCGCAGGGTCTGGTGGTAATCCAAGAGGGCCCAGGTGATACACAGAAAAGATGTGCAAATCCCGAGTACTGCAAGGAAAACAAGGGAGAAGGCAGTGGAAACAGAGATCAGGTTAAGGAAGAACCGCCCCCATTGCAAACATCACCGTATAGATGCTGAAGCGGGCAGCAAAATCTACCCCTTGTAACTCTGGAATCTTTCAATTATTTAAATTACTATCATTTCTAGTGAGTTCCCTATTTTTCGCTCTGTTACGCAATCTTCTACATCCTGACAGTAAAATCAAGGAGAAACATACATGTAGTCCTTGATTCAGGTCTGATTCCTTGATGACAGTTTGAAGATTCAATCTTGAATTAATATTAAGATCTATATTGTATTGTTATTTTGTGTGGGAATGTATGGATGGATGGATTTTGATTTGATTTTGAATGCCTGTTTCCAATTTATTGAACAAATTAATAAAGTTTAACCTGATGTTATTTCTCCACATTGTTTTTATATGTCTACAAATCTTGGGTTCCCCGAAGGCTGAAGATCTGGGCCACAAAAATGCTGACATCCACTGCTGGATTTTAGTTATTTATCAAATTTCTACACTGCCCTTCTCACCTACATGACTGAGTGGTTTACAAATAAAACGGATACTGCAAATAGCAGACATTTATGCCGGCAGAAGCTCACATTCCTCCAAAACTGGCCCCTCCCAATTGGCACTCACCTTGAAATATCTCAGCCTGGTTGGTGTGTAGAATGATGTAGATCACCAAGATGAGCTGAGGTGCACTTTCCAGAAAGGTCTCAAAGAGGCGCAAGAGACTGACATCGTGTGACAGGAAAATGGCAAAGGCCTGATGAGTTGCTGTTGCATCTTCCATCTTGCATGCCTGGAAACCCACCCTCAGGACACAGAGACACCTGAACAAGGCAACACAGAAGTGTCTAAGGCAAGTTTTGAAATTAGGAAAGCATGCAATGGGAACATTTCTCAAACAGCAGCCCTAGGGGATTTATTTACAGTTAGTCCTTGACTTACAACCATATGTTGAGTGACTGAAGTTACAATGGAACTGAAAAAAAAGGTGACTTATGACTGGTCCTCACATTTATAACTACTGCGGTATCTCCATAGTCACGTGATCAAATTTCAGGCATTTATAATTGGCATGTGTTTACAATGGCTGCAGCATCCCAGGGTTACGTGATCATCATTTCCAGCTAGTTTCCGACAAGCAAAGTCAATAGGGGAAGCCTGATTCATTTAACAACTGAGTGATTCACTTAACTGCAGCAATTTGCTTAATCATTCCAAAAAAAGGTTGTAAAATTATGTGGAACTCATTTAACAACCACCTTGCTTAGCAACAGAAATTCTGATACTCAACTGTGGTTGCAAGTCAAGGATTGTTTTGCGTAGGGCTGCCACAGTGAGCCTGGCTGGTCAAAAACATCCAGCAACCAGTACTTTCTCTAAGATGTTGGAGTATACAACACCACATTTTAATAGGAGATACTAAAGGATCCCTAAAAGCAATACCTAACAGGCTTCACCTTTTTTCTCCTTCCAGGAAATATGCAAGATAGTGTAATTGACCAGACAATTAAGTTCACTCTTAATGCAGCCATTTTGGCTTCCTTAGCTTAACCCAGTAGGCTAATTTGTGTTTATCTACTTTGGCCAAGTTCTTGTCAGCCCATCACTGCAACTTATGACTTGAGCCTGCGTCCATCTAAACAAAGCCAACAAAGTTACTTGAGAGTCTGATGCATGATGTGGACTCTGGCATTTGGATAAAAGGAATTTAGTTAGGTTGGCAGGGTGTGATGGAAACGCCTGTTTGTTTAGATATGTTGTGTAAAATACCCTAGAAGAGTGTGCTGTGTGAAACCACCTGGGTCAATGAACAGAAGCATCCCTGCTACTCTTACCTGTACAGGTAGCCGAGCTGTAGGAGATGGAGCAGCTTCGAAGTCCGGGGGGATGGCTGGGAGAGGCCCTCTTTATCGGAGTCACTCCGGAACCAAGCCCAGCTAAAGAACTGGGTCGTCAGGGAGGAGAGCAGCAGCAGCCCCAGCACCAGCCCGCCCCAGGGCAAGTGGCCGGCTCGAAGGTAGCTGGCAGCCACCCACACATCGGCCACCAAGTCCAGCAGGAAGGCGAGGGTACCCACCAGGGCAAAGGCCAGGTCCAGAAAGCGAAAAGGGGGCGGCTGGGGAAGGCTGCAGCCAGGAGTGCCGCCGGTCCTAGCCATGGTCCCGGTGGACGGCAGGGAAAGGGCCTCGAGGGGCCAAAAACCTCGGAGGAGGCCCCGCCGGGCGGACGGGGCGGGGCGCCCGCTTGGGCTCCTCCGCAGCAGCCTCGCCTCGCCTACCGCGGGTTGCTGGGAGGAGGGAAGCTCCGCTTAGCGCCGCTGCTGTCTAGAGAAGCATAAACTAGGAAACTTCGCCGGGATTCCCCCTCAGAGCCTTCCCTTCAGGCTCCCTTCGAAGCGGCTCTTCCTCCGGCCTTGCAAACGCCCCTTCCCCGCCCCGGGACGGACCACCCCCGTCCCTTCTCGCGGAGAGCCGGTCCGCTCCCCCCCCCGCCCCCGCCCCGCTACCTCCCGGGCCTGGAGGGAGCGAGGAAAGCGGGGCTTCTCCTCGTCTCCTCGACGGCGGCGGCCGGGGAGGCTCTCGGAGCAGGACGCCCGGGGCGCTGCGTGGCCTCCCCGCCTCGCCTCTCCCGCCGCCGGGCCTTCTTTCCCCGGAGGAGAGGCGGGACCCAGTGGGGAGAAAGCGCAACCCGCGACCCGCCCGGCTCGGAAGCGGGCCTCCCTTCTCGGCTGGAAGGAACAGGCCAAGACGGTAGCCCGCCATCCTCCGTCTGTTGACCCCGAGACGGGTTGCTGGGACCGTCTTGAAAGGGAGGCGTCGAGCGAGGCTGGATCGACACCTTTCACACGTCGGCTGCAAATCCCGGGGTTGCNCGCAATGTAAAAAAGATGTTGAGACTCTAGAAAGAGTACAGAGAAGAGCAACAAAGATGATTAGGGGACTGGAGGCTAAAGCATATAAGGAACGGCTGCTGGAATTGGGTATGTCTAGTTTAATGAAGAGAAGGAAGAGGGGAGACATGATAGCAGTGTTCCAATATCTCAGGGGCTGCCACAAAGAAGAGGGAGTCAAGCTATTTTCCAAGGCGCCTGAAGGCAGGACAAGAAGCAATGGATGGAAACTAATCAAGGAGAGAAGCAACCTAGAACTAAGGAGAAACTTCCTGACAGTGAGAACAATTAACCAGTGGAACAACCTGCCTCCAGAAGTGGTGAATGCTCCAACACTAGAAGTTTTTAAGAAGAGACTGGACAGCCATTTGTCCGAAATGGTATAGGGTTTCGTGCCTGAGCAGGGGGTTGGAGTAGATGACCTTCAAGGTTCCTTCCAACTTTACTATTACTACTACTACTACTACTACTACTATTATTATTATTATTATTATTATTATTATTATTATTATTATTATTATTATTATTATTATTATTATTAAGGTGCCGGAACTCACACATGTCATACAACCCGGCTTGCCTACCCTACAAAGTTCCATCCAAAAAAGGTGCCGGAACTCCGTTCTGGGCGTTCTATGACAAAAAAAAGCCCTGCATATATATATTCTGAGAGAGAAAGAGGTTCGTGGAATATGAAGCTATAAAACAGATCTAAGAAATCATGACAGAAAAGTTTGAGTTCCCAGCAAAAAAAAATGGATAAGGTAAATTCCAGACCTTGCTAAACACTTTCTCATGCACTCTGGTGTATTTATTCCCCTTTTCATGGGTTGAGTAATACTGTAAAATGCCTAATTTAGAATTGTTGCAAGACCAATGACTCTCATGACTCTTTAATTGTTTTCAATTTCTACATTCTGAGTTCTTTAACTATTTTGAATCATGCACTTCGACACGTACTGGAATTAAAAAGTTAATTCCCTCAACTCTTGTTTCCTTTTTATCAGCACTCAAAAGCCCAAGTTAAACACATTCAGGGCTAAAATCCATTGAAAACATCGTTGGAGTTAATAGGTTGTCAGAAAAATATGCCTAGAACTGTAATGGGGTTTTCTATGGAGAACATATGTTTTAGGCCAGGGCTTTTCAACCTTTTCACCCATTGTACCACTTTTAGGATATGGCAATATCCGAGTACCACCAGTCGCCTAGCAAGGTGTCAAAAACTTGATGACCAAAAAAAGGAAAAAAGTGATAAAGTACAGGTAGTCCTCGACTTACAACAGTTTGCTTAGTGACTGTTCGAAGTTACAATAGCACTGAAAAAAGTGCCCCCCCCCAAGCCACTGCTGAGCAAGACACCTGCCTGCCCACCCAGCGGCGCTGTGAGCATTTCTGTTGAGGATTGGCAGCGGGGGTGGGGTGGGGGGGTGTTTGGTTTTTATTCCCCCCCCCATCTGCTGGGTGGTTGCAGCAGGTTTTGGGCACTTCACATGATCCTGGGACACTGTGACGATCATAAATATGAATCAGTTGCCAAGCATCTGAATGTAAATCACAAGACCCTGGAGATGCTGCAACATTCCAGCTGATCGGTGCTTCTTCTGGGCTCAGCAGAAGTGCCAGGATCAGCGCCGAGCTCCAGGTGGAGCCTGGCACTGATCCTGGCGCTTCCACTGAGCCCTGACAGCCCTGATGAAGCACTGATCCTGGCGCTTCCGCTGAGCCCTGACAGCCCTGCAGCTCCAGCCATCTCTCGCTCAGGCTTGTGCGGTGCTGCCACCGGTTCAGCTCATTCCTCTCCCCCACTACCACTTTTCTAGGATGGTTGCGTACCACCTGCCAGGTGCCAATGTGCCACAGGTGGTACCCGTACCACTGGTTGAAAAGCCCTGTTTTAGGCTATATTTATGCAGAAATATGAAAATTCCAAAGGTTCACAAATCTCAAAGCACCACTGTAGTTCCCACATAAATTAGTTGAAAAGATTTAAGGATTATTTACTTTGGAGCATTGGTATGTCCCCTCATCTCAGTTTTTATATTACAACTTTTTCTATAATTGAACACTCAAAGTGACTGGAATCTAAATGCAAGTAACTTCTTCTGCCCTATATGTAAATATTATCTTCAGGTTCCAGGAAATCTTGCCTTTTGCTTTGTCTCTGTGAAAACCTGAAAAAACGTTAAACAACAGCTGTGAAATGGCTGATCCTGACTCAGCCTTTAAGTTCCTCTATTTCATGTAGAATATTAAAGTCTTTATTATTTACCCTAAGCCATTTAAGTTCCATTAAGTCAACAAACCTCGTGTGTGTGTGTGTGTGGTGTGTGTGTGTGTGTGTGTGTGTGTTGGTTGCTGAAGTTAAAAGCTTGTCTGTGGGTGTGGGTGTGGGTGTGTGTGTTGGTTGCTGAAGTTAAAAGCTTGTCTGCTCCAGCCACTATAAGGAAAATTGATCCATGGGTCCTTTAATAATAGTTGTAAAACAACACACCAGATCCAAAAAAAAGTCAGAATGGCTTACCCGATACGAAAATCTGGACATAATACCATGCTGTACTGTAGGCAGAAAGATTAATAGTTTTGAATGTGCACTTTTATTTCTCTGTACAAGGTCTGGCTTTCTACTGAGGTGAAATTCTGTGTCACAAAACATCACAAGTCTTCCCTTATTGCTTTTATGGCATTGTAGACATAGGATAAAATAGGAAATGAAACAACTGAAGCATTGAAAGTTATGTGCTTAGACACTATTGGTTTTTTTTCTTAGAACAGTTAATTAGAAGCCACCTCTCCTTGCCCACATATTTTTCTATTGCCTATTTCCTTTAAAATATGTGTGAATTTGGATTAGCACTATGTTCACACTGCACTTAAAATACTTTTTTTCATTATAGTTTGTGAAGTAAGCTCCCATAGCTGGATTCACAAACCCAGTGGATGAGATCACACCCAATACATTGTACTAAATCAAAACCAAACCAAACCAACCACATTTATATATTTGTTAATGTGGACTTTTGAATGTTATCTACTACTTGGGTCACAGGTGGCTTACAGCTCTAAAAATATAACAGTCTGCAACCTAAAACCAACCATATTNGATCCGGGATCACCCGGATCTCTGGGGGTAGTTCGTTCCAGAGGGTGGGGGCTCCCACCGAGAAGGCCCTCCCCCTGGGGGTCGCCAGCCGGCACTGTCTGGCTGACGGCACCCTGAGGAGACCCACTCTGTGGGAGCGTACCGGCCGATGGGAGGTAACCTGCGGCAGAAGGCGGTCTCGGAGATATCCAGGTCCGATAGCACTGAAAAAGTGCCCCCCAAGCCACAGCCGAGCAAGACACCTGCCTGCTTGCCCGGCAGCGCTGTGAGCATTTCTGTTGAGGATTGGCAGCGGGGGTGGGGTGGGGGGTGTTTGGTTTTTATCCCCCCCCCCCCCGTCTGCTGGGTGGTTGCAGCAGGTTTTGGTCACTTCACATGATCCTGGGACACTGTGACGATCATAAATATGAATCAGTTGCCAAGCATCTGAATGTAAATCACAAGACCCTGGAGATGCTGCAACATTCCAGCTGACCAGGGCTTCTTCTGGGCTCAGCAGAAGTGCCAGGATCAGCGCCGAGCTCCAGCTGGAGCCTGGCACTGATCCTGGTGCTTCCACTGAGCCCTGACAGCCCTGATGAAGTGCTGATCCTGGCGCTTCCGCTGAACCCTGACAGCCCCGCAGCTCCAGCCATCTCTCGCTCAGGCTTGTGCGGTGCTGCCACCGGTTCAGCTCATTCCCCTCCCCCACTACCACTTTTCTAGGATGGTCGTGTACCACTTGCCAGGTGCCAATGTACCACAGGTGGTACCCGTACCACTAGTTGAAAAGCCCTGTTTTAGGCTATATTTATGCAGAAATACGAAAATTCCAAAGGTTCACAAATCTCAAAGCACCACCGTAGTTCCCACATAAATTAGTTGAAAAGATTTAAGGATTATTTACTTTGGAGCATTGGTATGTCCCTTCATCTCAGTTTTTATATTACAACTTTTTCTATAATTGAACAGTCAAAGTGACTGGAATCTAAATGCAAGTAACTTCTTCTGCCCTATATGTAAATATTATCTTCAGGTTCCAGGAAATCTTGCCTTTTGCTTTGTCTCTGTGAAAACCTGAAAAAACGTTAAACAAAAGCTGTGAAATGGCTGATCCTGACTCAGCCTTTAAGTTCCTCTATTTCATGTAGAATATTAAAGTCTTTATTATTTACCCTAAGCCATTTAAGTTCCATTAAGTCAACAAACCTCGTGTGTGTGTGTGTGTGTGTGTGTGTGTGTGTTGGTTGGTTGCTGAAGTTAAAAGCTTGTCTGCTCCAGCCACTATAAGGAAAATTGATCCATGGGTCCTTTAATAATAGTTCTAAAACAACATACCAGATCCAAAAAAAAGTCAGAATGGCTTACCAGATACGAAAATCTGGACATAATACCATGCTGTACTGTAGGCAGAAAGATTAATAGTTTTGAATGTGCACTTTTATTTCTCTGTACAAGGTCTGGCTTTCTACTGAGGTGAAATTCTGTGTCACAAAACATCACAAGTCTTCCCTTATTGCTTTTATGGCATTGTAGACATAGGATAAAATAGGAAATGAAACAACTGAAGCATTGAAAGTTATGTGCTTAGACACTATTGGGTTTTTTCTTAGAACAGTTAATTAGAAGCCACCTCTCCTTGCCCACATATTTTTCTATTGCCTATTTCCTTTAAAATATGTGTGAATTTGGATTAGCACTATGTTCACACTGCACTTAAAATACTTTTTTTCATTATAGTTTGTTAAGTAAGCTCCCATAGCTGGATTCACAAACCCAGTGGATGAGATCACACCCAATACATTGTACTAAATCAAAACCAAACCAAACCAACCACATTTATATATTTGTTAATGTGGACTTTTGAATGTTATCTACTACTTGGGTCACAGGTGGCTTACAGCTCTAAAAATATAACAGTCTGCAACCTAAAACCAACCATATT